TAACACCGTCGTTCGAGTGCGAGACTAGTGATCAATTTGTCACTCGATGAGAGTTGGGCGACAAGCGGACGGTTGTGTTTCTTTTTTTCCACTCTAGCATCAGATGGGCGATAGATTGGCATAAATCCTACAATTCTTTCCTCTTTATTCCTAACTCGAACCCTAAGTTACCTATTTCATCTATAAAACAATTCAATTGACTCCTTGATTTTTACAACTTTTTTATATCGGTCCTATTGTCTAAAGAATTGCTAATACAATTGAATCTTAAAAAAAGGAAATAATAGAAATGTATATTCACATTTACGGGAATTATGTAAACAAGATTTCTCAATGGAAACAAATCCTACACGCAACATTGAGTCCCATGGTATGTCTGAATACTCTCTATGGTCGCAGATGAAGAACAATTCCAATAATACTTACTGAAGTACTATTTTACATAATAAGTTAATTCTTCGTGTATGAGTTAGATTTTGTGTATTTAGTTCACCAAGACAGAAAAGTAAAAATTTATAGTGTACGAGATTACTTATGTATTCGTGTCCATATATTTATGCAGTTCCTAAAAATCAATGAAACAAAATGTCCATCGTAACATTGAACTGTAATCTTCCTCAATCTCCTGAACCCTTACTTTCCTAGAAATAGTGCATTGTGTTTGTTTAGACTTAGCTCGATATTTTAAGCTCCCGATTTTCACAAATACGTTGGATATCAAGTATATCTTACCCAAAACTAGACTATCTTGGTATACAATGATATTATAAACGACTGTTAATTCCTGTTTCTAAAAAATTTGATTAAAAAAAATTTAATGCATGAGATGTTAGTTATTCAAATATTGAAGAAAATAAAATTACTGATCATTTTACATTTCTACAATATTTTAAAAAGAACTATATGTTTCCGTTAAAATGTATAAACTAAATAAAAACTGACCTCAGAGTCTATAAGTAACAAGTTTCCATAATTTCATTGGACTTTTTTATGAAGTATTTGCTGGAAATTTCTAGAGACAGTCACTTTGGCAGTCCATTCATAACTTCCAGGTGACATTTCTCTTATTAGTTGATAGTTGTTCATTTTCCTTTTACAACATAAGAATACAATAAATGAACGACATAATAGAAATCCCTACAATACAGAATAATCTCTGCAATACAACTCTATATATGTATAATAAGCAAGATTTAGATAAGCTTTACCATCCGTACTATATGTTTAAAGAGAAAATTAATACAATTTTATTTAGAAAATATTATAATGAACATGCTGATCAGAAAAATGATTTAGTGGTAGAATAAATTATTGATAATAGCAAAATTTAAAATGAGGGAAATGAAAGATACACCTTATGGTTTTGCAGAGACTTTTGAGATAGAATGAAGAGAGGCTAATCAGTTTCTATTGTTCTATGTTTACTTTCTACAATATGTATAATGCGTGCTTTTGTGTATATACATATATGCATTATAAGTCTAAAGAAAAGTGGATGTTAACAAGTTCCCAAGATTTCTTATTGAAAATACATGTATGATTTTCTGAAAAGTAAACAACAGAAAATCGTTTAGTTTTAAAATTGTAATAGTACCGTTACATGATACAACTGCGCTTGACGTATAGGGTGAGCTCTTATAGTTACCTTACAGATTACTCACAAAGGGGGAGATTAGGTATTTTGGAGGTCATTTTTTAATGAGGTGTGTCTCGCATTGAGTGGCCTGTAAAAGGCCTATAAAAGCAAGGCCTGTGAAAGTAGAATTATTCAATATGATATTTCGTCCTAAGCAAGTACAGCAATTCTGATTGACATTTTATTTAAAGGTTCAATGCAAATCTAAAACCATCACTTTTGTAAGTAAAACGTGGTTGTAGATAAAGAAATAATAATATATTTGTAAAACATTTGTCGCCCTTTACTTTATATTCTTTTTCATTAGCTTTTTACAGTATTCATTTATACACATTCTTTATTAATATTATATACAAATAAAAAACTTTTCAGTTTCTTTAATTACACATTCCCCATCAATCACTATTTCATAATACATTTCTTCAAATTAATGGGAAAAAAATAGGGCCTAAATGCCGTGAATGATTTACTTCTATTATATAAATACAATGTCTTTATGCAAAAATAATAATAATAATAATAAAATTGAAGAAGAAAGAACTTTGTGCTAGAAGATCCATTAGATCTCTCAAATGTAAGGTGAATTGTAATCCATGAAGGAATAAACAATTTAAAATATATATATATCCAACTTCACAAGAGAACGCTAAAATGAAAAAGTTTAAAAATAAAAAGTACATTAAGGAACATACTGCAAAATAACATTTAAGTAGGAAAAAAATTACTCAAAATGGAAATAAAATTAACATTTTTTCCCTCTCTAAATGAAAATTTTCGTATTATTATTTACTAAAATACAGATAGAGAGATTATTTCTGAAGCACAGTTAAATTTAATTATGAAAATAAAACTATGAAATGTTAATAAACATACTCAAATTTAAATCCTCGCAATTTTTCTATGAGCGTCACGTCTCAATTCTAGCAAAACTCTAAATAAATGATGGCCGAATGAAGAAGTTCTTGATTCTTCATAGCAACATAATTAATATCCATTGTCATCTAAATCCCTATTGAAACATAATTTAATCCCCTCCCAACCAAAAATAAAATGGCATTCATTGATACAGTGTGAGCTCATTTTCCAAAAAAAGTACTTTTAGCCCCGTTTGGCCTTCATTAATTTTCATTCTATTACATTCTATTTTTCTCTCTCCTATTTTTAACCATACAATCTTCCATAAAATAATATTATACGTAAATCAAAACTTTTCATTCTTTTTCAACCACTCATTTTTAAAAAAAACAATATTCCACGCATTTTCATTTCCAAAAAATGGGGAGCCAAACAAGGGCTTAAACACAGCATGTTGTAATTTGTTCACATTATAACGACAAGACTAGCTAGGATGTTTTAGATGCAATCTATAGTGGAAAACCCGTGAAATAATGAATGGAAAAACAGTAGAACAAACTTCAAGGACCGAGGCGAACTTACACTATAAAAGGCAAGACCATTGCCCGCGACTTGTGGTGAGGTAAAGGTCACGGGCTCCTGACCCCCGACCTGCAAGCCTTTGAGGCCTATGCCTTGCATTCACGACCTATGACCTCGACCAACTCGGCGTTAATCTAGTTGGGAGTTAACCTATAAAGGTTTGTTTATTTCTCAAAGTATTTGATAGTGCAATGTGGTAAAAGTGGCGAATGTTTCTTTAGGACAGTGCTGTTGAAGTCTTGATCCTTTTTTCTGGTTTTTCTTCATTATGGTTTCTCATTTCTTCTTCATCTCTTATTTGTTTTCAATAAACTAAACAATGTTTTTCAATGGAGAATGAAACTACAATAGCTACTATCAAATTTAAGAATCAAGATTTGGTGAAGCTCGATCATTTTGATGGAATGAACTTCACTTAGGACAAGAAAAGATAAAGCTTCTCTAAATAGCTTGGAAGATCATTTACATGATCTATGTTTGGCTCCAAATTCCATAACTAGCTGCACATACAATAAAAATGGCTTTTTACAACATTCAAAAGGCAACATTTAACCCCCGTTTGGCCCCCATTTTTCGGTAATGAAAATGAGTGTAATAGTGTTTTTTTTTTAAAATGAGTGATTGAAAAAGAAGAAAAAGTTTTTGATTTACATATAATCTTATTTTATAGAAGATTGTGTGGTTGAAAATAAGGGAAAAAATTAGAATGTAATAGAATATAATTTAATGGGAGCCAAAGAGGGGCTTATTAATTGAGTGTTTTTTAAAGGATCTATCACAACATTCTAATAAGTGTACGTTGTCAATGTTAAAAAAAATTAAAAAAAAAATGGCAACACTTTTAAATGCATGATGTTAAATGTCACCTTTTGTAACGTTCATCGATTGTTCCGAAAAGTTCCATGTTTGCAACATTCATTGACTGTTGCAACGTTGTAATATATAGGCATTTTGCAACTTTTATTGACTATTGAGAAATATTCAGTCTTTACAACGTTCGTTGAATGTTATGAAAAGTTTCATTTTTTACAATGTTTGTTGACCGTTGTTAAAATCATGTTCTATAACAACCTTCAAATTCTGTTACTAAAATTTTACCTTTTACAACGTTCATTTATTGTCACAAAATTTACTCTTTACTTTAATTAAAAAAATTAATTTACAGAAAAAACAAAACAAAACAAAACTATTCACGCGTGACATCATATTCCATTCACGCATTCTTACATGAAACCTCTTCAACAAAATCCTCACACCACCAATTCCTCCTCATTGTCAGCAACACCAAAAACTTAGCCATCACTGCAGCCCTCATTGCTCCTCCGCTGTCGGCCTATCACTCTTCTTCTTTAGTAAATCTCATTTTCTATAGTGTTTTTCCCAATTTTTTTGGGAGTCAGAGATAATGAAGTTTTTGGTGGAGCTTTACTATTTCTGGAGTCATGCTATGATCGTACTTCAGGTTCGAGCTGCTGTTGGATAATTTAATTCTTTAAATACCGGATCTTTCATGTTAAATCATCAAGAAATATAATAATTAAAGCGGAAGCATACCTGAATCTGACATGGTTAATGCAATATGGATTTCGCGGTATGATCTTCCAAATCTACACGCAGTCTCCTTTTCCTCTCTGTGATGGGATGCAGTAGAGAATGAATAATTCGTTTCGTTGCGTGTGATCTGGGGACCATAACCTATTTATATGAGGATGCCCTTTGACCTAATTCGGCCCATCATAGAATTAGGACTTGGGCCCGGTCTCTACACATATGTAAACCCATACTTTAATTGGATACATTAAAGCCCAAAATCGAAACCTTATTAGATCACTTTAATCGGGCTCAACCGAATTCGATAGCCTATAATTTAACACACAATTATTCACACATACAAGCCCATCTTTAATTAAAAATCCTTACAGCTGCTACATAGAAATGAGAATCCGAGCGACAACCCGAATTCATAAATTTATAGTCGGTGTGGCGATGAAGGAGTTGTTACTATAATGCAAAAATAAATTAGTGTAAGTCATAATTAGTCATGTTTTTCATTTTATGTTTGAAAGAGTCAATGGTTGTAACTTTGTGCCTTGTTTTATGCTTCACTTTAGGAGTATCTTTTAGTGTTGGTTTTGTGTTTCCTTAAAAATTGGAAGTAGTTGCTTTCCTTTGTGTATATAAAGGTTCTCAGCTAAATAAAAACTGTGCACAAAAACTTCCTACATTTTTGTACCTTCCAGTCATTTGATTTAATTCCTCTTAGAGTAATTTCTGGTTTTCTTGCTATTTCATACTCTGTCTTTTTTAACATCTGGCATCACAGCTTGGTCTCTAGCTTGAGAAGATCCAAGTTATTATTTAATGGCAAACAACAGTGCTGGGATTAAACTTGCCTACAATTCTATTTTTTAAAGGCATTGAATATGATGTCTGGAGCACAAATATGAAGACTTTGTTCATCTCCCAAGCTCTATAGGAATTGATATAGAGAGGATATGTAGAAGAAGGTGTGCCAACTGAATCTTTAAAAGATGTTCGAAAGAGAGATGCCAAAGCTCTCTTTTTCATCCAACAAGCAGTGGATGAGACAATCTTCCCTCTAGTTTCAGCGGCAACAAAATCAAAGGAAGCATGGGATGCACTCAAGAATGGCGACCAAGGAACTGCTAAGGTGGATAATGTCAAACTGCAGACACTTCATAGGAAATTTGAAAGCTCCTTCATGAAAGATACAGATTCTATAGATGACTACTTTAACAATTTGATGGAAGTAGTGAATAAAATTAGGTAATATGGTGAAGAACTATCTGATCAAAAGGTTGTTGAGAAAATTTTGAGGAGCTTACCAAGAAAATATGAGTCTACAACGGACGCCATAGAAGAATCTAAGGATCTAACAGTGCTCACGATTGATGAGTTGCTGGTTCTCTACAATCTCATGAAGATAGACAGAGAAGTTATGAAGAAAGAAATGTTGAGAAGGCATTCCACACCCAATTGCACTTGTCCAAAGACAATGACAAATTACAAGAACGCAGAAGCAACATCAGTCGTGAAGGCTATTCGTTTCAAGGAAAAAGAGGTGGACAAGGCTACAGAGGAGGTGCTCGGGTAATGGACCGTAACCAGTATCATAATACAACCAGCAATAAAGGTGATGCTAACAATCGTAAGTTCCAATGTTATTATTGTAACAAGTATGCCCATATAGAAAAGTTTTGTAATTTGAAAGAAAAGCAAGCAAATTTTGTTGAGCAAGAAAACAAAGAAGAATGTGAAAGTTTGTTTCTTGCATGCTATGCTACCTCTACTTTGTGATTCAAATGTTTGGTATATGGATAGTGGGTGTAGCCAACACATGACAGCAAACTTGGAGGCTTTCATCAGTTTGGACAGGTCAGCAAAGAATAGAGTAAAAATGGGTGATGGAATGATTTATGAAGCACAAGGAAATGATATTGTAAAGATTTATTCTTGTGAAACCAGCTATATTAGATATGTTCTCTATGCCCCTGGCCTGGATTTAAATCTGCTAAGTGTTGGACAAATTTTAAAAGAAGGTTACTTATTTCTCTTCAAAGATTTCTCTTGTTTTTAGACAAGACAAAGAAGAACATGTAGTTCAGAGTTCCTATGGCTAAGAATAATTTGTTTCGTCTCACTCTTGATGATGAAAAGAAAGCACTTTCAACCTTATTAAAAGATGACAACTGGTTGTGGCATCATAGGTCCGGACATCTAAATTTTACAAGTTAGGACTTCTTGTCTAAACGTAATTTGGTGCATGGTTTGCCTATGATAAAGCATGTTATTGATGTATGTGAAAGCTGTGTGATTAGGAAAAACATAGAGACTCGTTTCCAAAAGGTAAAAGCATGAGAGCTTTACGACCAACTGGGTAGGGTCGATTGGATTTGTGGTAGGGCCGTGATGCGGGCTATCAAGAGGATCGTAGGAACAAAGAATAAACTTTTTATTAAGTTTTTCTGCTTTCATAATTATTTGTTGACTTATTTTAAGACATATTTATTGTTATTTTTTTTATACGATTGCTATGTTTACCTTAAATATATGAATGCCGCAGTTATTATTTATTAAAGAATTTTATTTTGATCTTTTGCTATGCCAAATTAAAGAAAAAATGAATTTTTGATAACGCTCTGGTGTTATGAAAATTTGGGGCGTTACAGCTTGGTATCAGAGTACGGTTTGATTTTTCTGTAGATTTTTTTTTGAAAAAAAATATTCAGAATAGTTCGCGTGAACAGTAAAAATATTTAAAAAAAGGTTTTGAAAAAAAAAACGTGAACAATTAAATTTACTGTTCACGTGAATAGTAAAAAAAAGAAAATTTTATGGTTCAAATTTCATATGTGATAAATTTTTATGTGTTTAGCTTTAGCCTTTGGCAATATTTTAAAATGTACCAATTTGAAAATTCATGCTTTAAGAGATTTCACGTTCGATTTATTGTTAGAATTTTGTTGAATTGCATAATTGCAAAATTGAAAGGTTTTGTCAAAAAGACCTAAACTGTCTAAAAAGAGTTTGGGATTTAAGCGGTCCATCTGTAACCCCCCTCCTCATCTGAAAGCCTTTTAATTGTACGTTATTCAAATCGATAAGACGAAAGACAATATTTCGGACAATTCTAAATTTAAGAAAATTAAAAAAATATGAAACTTCTATTTGAGAAAATTTTATTAAAAGATATATACATGTACAGTTAATAATAATAATAATAAAATGGGATTTTGTGAAATTTTTTATGTAAAATGGGATTACGTGTCTTGATTAATACGTAATTTTATACATATTTTGAAACAAATCTTTCAAATGTTAGCCGACATTTACCTTTAAGAAAATATTAATTTTTATAATATAAGTGAATTTCTTAAAATACTATGTGGTTGTTATAAAGCTCTATTTGTACTTATGTGTTATTACTATGATTTTATTTTCAATGATGTATATGTTTGTGTTTAAATAACCATTTATAGCGTGATTTTAAATGATGATACTGTTGCTAGGAACTTTTATTTCTTGATTTTTTTTATTCTAAGAAATTCATAAATAATTATAGTCAAATTATTTTTTTTTAAAAAATAGGGAGTTTAAAGGATGATGTTATTATTATTTTTTTTTTAAACAAATAATGTTATAAGAACACTTGGCACGTGGCGCTCACCAATCAACTACTATCCAGTTGATCCCGAGTATGAAATGAATTTTTTTCATTCTTAATTTCTAGCATGGTTATGAGTCATATTTCTACATATTATGAGATATATAAGCATGTTCACCTCGAATAATTTAATTGTCATTTTTTTCATTTTATTAGAATATCATTTATGCACTGAGAATAAAATAATATTAATAATGCAAGATTAAACATAATTGAAATTATACTTATCACGTGATTAGGATGACTAGGAATAACCCAATATACCTTCAGCGTGTTGAAATTGCCATTGAGAACTACATAAATTATGAAGTAAAATAGGAGCAAACTTTTGTTGAACATGTTGAAAATTTCTTTTCTAAGTGGGAGCGAGCAAGATCGTTCGGATATAATGAGGGGAGAGTCATCTCGAAAAACCACCTTATAAGCACTATGCGACCTCAATGGAGAGACATGACTTACTTCATGAGGGATATGGATTACGGGTTATATTTGAAAGAAGATTGGGATAAGATTGATTTTAAAGGGTATTGTGAGGATATCATATTTTGTGGAATCACAAACAACAAGCTCCAACGCCCGAACTCGAACCAGAGCCAGAGAAGGACCCGGAGGAAGAGCCTAAAGAGGACTCAGAGGAGGAGATCGAGCCAGAGCCAGAAGACCCTGGGTAAGAAATCCAACCACAAAATTTCATTGATTTGGTTGCAGATTCTGAGCCAGAGTCATGCATTACTTCGGATGATGAGACGCCATAAAAAGAAGATTTTTAGGACTAACTAGGATTAGAAATAAGTGTTATTTATTTACTTAGGAAAAGTTTAATCGTTTATTTATTTGATTTTTTTGAAGAGCAAATTACTATATATAAGGATTTGGAAATTTATATTTCTTCGTTATTAAAAAGATTATTAATAATATTAGGTTGTTTTAACAAATATTCCTAAATTAAAATTTTATTTATGTTAAGAAAATATCGAGACAACAACAAAATCAATCTACGATCATCAGGGATTTGCTAAGGGCGGTACAAGATTTGGGTAGGCAACAAGCACAGGCTGGTCCCCATGGTACAAACGCTAATACCATCAGCTCAATTGTGGAATCAGTTCCGTCTTTACAAAACCCCAACCTTTGATGGCAAGGCAAACCCACTAGCAGTCGAAGAATGGACAAGAGGAATGGAGCGAATCTTCAAACATATATCTTGCACTAATACTCAAAAGATGTTATGTGCAGAATTCATGTTGGCTGACATTGTAGTGCACTAGTGGGAGTCAGCATCTCGCACTAGAACAAAAGCACCACAACGTGCTCTGACGTGGACACAATTTAAGGACGAAATGATGGGAAAATATTTCCCCCAAAATTTGAAAGATCAAAAGGAGACAAAATTCCTTCAACTTAAACAAGGAAAAAATGAAACTTGAGGATTATGAGAGAAAATTTGAACTCTCAAGGTATGCACCACACTTAATGGACACTGAAGCAAATAAAGCAAGGAGATTCAAACTGGATTGCGTCCTGAGATTGGTGGAATACTGGCATCCCACCAATTCACCACCTATAGCCGAGTATTGCAAACTGTCCAAACAATCTCAAATAGGTTGGAAATTGATCAAACTCCCTAGTAAGGGGCCGAGCCTTCAGGAAAGAGGAAATGGAATGGCTCCAACGAAGAGAAAGGAGAAGGACAGAACAAGAAGGCTAACTTCGGATCAAATTTTGGAAGTCGTTCCACCTTGTCCAAAGTGCAATAAAATGCATAGGGGTGAATGACTGTATGAGAAGCATGTGTGCTATAGATGTAGTAAAACGGGGCATATTTCAAAAAACTACAAAGAGGATCTTTTAAAGAAGAATGACGAGCCAAAAAAGAAGGGAAAAGCCAGAGTTTTTACTTTAGCCCAAGGACGGGCCATGGAAAACTCAAATGCATGTAATCTCGAGGACGAAATTCTCTTAAAGAGGGTAGATTATAGTAACCCGAAAATTTTAGAATAAAATTTATTTATTTCACATGTTATAAAATTACATTTTTTAAAGTTGAGGACTAAAATGAAAAATGTTTTTAAATTTCTTTTTTTTTTTACCTAAAGAAAATACATAGTCAAGTCAAAGAGAATGAAGCATCAAAAAGGGGTTTTCACGTGCATTTTTCTGGTCCATTACAACTTTTCAAATCAACGAGATAAGATACTTTATGTACAAGTGTTTTCGTTTCCTTATGCTTTATATGCAATTAAATATGCATGGATTGTCAATGGACATTATTTTTTTTAAGAGATATCAAATCCTACGTGATTATTAGAGGACCTAAGATGGGTGTGTCGCTTGGTCACCGATATACTCCATAAGATCAGAATGGTATGAAGTATTATTTTTATTGTTATATATTTGTCTATGGAAATGCACGTATCTCACTGGGTGTTTTCAAATACTCACTCTTACAAAATTTTACAGGTTAGTTCGGGTCGATTGGATTTATGGTAAGACGGTGATGCAGGTTGCCCAAAGAATCGTAGGAACAAAGAATAAATTTTGCATTAAATTTTTCTACCTTCATAATTATTTGTTAACTTATTTTAAAACATGTTTATTGTTATTTTTTTATACGATTGCTATGTTTACCTTAAATATATGAATGCCGCAGTTATTATTTATTAAAGAATTTTATTTTGATCTTTTGCTATGCAAAGAAAAAAATGATTTTTTGGTAATGCGTCGGTGTTATGAAAATTTGGGGTGTTACACAGGTCTTCCATTGAAAAGCAAAGTGGACATGCGATAAAGATATTGTGAACAAATCGTGGAGGTGAATTTGTCTCCGGGAATTTAACAATTTGTGTAAAGAATTGGGAATACAAAGACAATTAACAGTCCAGCAACAAAATGGAGTAGCGAAGATAAAGAATCGAAGACTTGTAGAAATGGCTAAAAGCATGTTAAAAGTTAAATGTCTTCCAAAGAGTTTTTGGGCAGAAGCCATTCATACTGCTGCTTACATCCTCAATTGAAGTCCTACATTTGCATTGTCCAATCAGACACCTTTTGAAGCCTGGCATGGGTGGAAGCCAAAGGTAACACACTTTAAAATTTTTGATCGTGTTGCTTATGTGCATGTGCCATCTCTAAAGAGAGAAAAGCTTGATAATAATAGTGTGCAATGTATATTTGTGAGCTATAGCATGGAAATTAAAGGATATCGATTTTATAATCCTATTTCTAAGAAATTGCTAATAAGTCGCGATGTTGTGTTTGACAATAAAAATGCACGAAATTGGACTGAGTTGCACATGGTGACTCAAGTCCCTCAACACCTATTAATAGCCCTTCAACACCTAGTACAAGCACTTCCAGTTCTTCCAACTTAACATCACCAAACTCTTCTTCCTCAAGCATACATCCACGAAAATGGAGATCATTGTAGGAGATTTGTGAACAAACTGAAATATGCCAGCTTGCACTAGTAGAAGAGC